TTGGCAAAAACATATTTGGGATAGTGTTAAATGCTTTTGAAATTAGTTGATTTTCTTTCCTTTTCAAGAAAAAAAAATGTTACCCTTTAAGTACTTTTGGAAGTATTCGTTTGCCAAGACAAAGTATAGTACATTGTAACGAAAATTAATGATATTTTGTGATCTAGGGCAATAGTTGTTACTGCATTCTACTATTATCTAAGAAGAAAATGTACTGTGTTTTTGTAGAAGACACTGTACCAGAGGACAATGGATAAAATATACTCAAAGGATCTGTAAACCACACTGGTAAAGAATAAACCGTCTCCAATCAAACCTCAATACCCACCTCCCCCTCCATGAATGGGCGTACACGTGCACACACACCTCTTTCATAAGCCATATTTTAAATTTAGGTTTTATATTTATTTTATTGAATTTCAATTTTAGGTTTATGAGGGAAGCACAGTTTCAGGCACTGCATTACATGTGATAGCACATTATGCAGGGGTAAGATTATTTGCTTGCAGTAATATTTACATGTCTGTCATCCACCAGCCTGTGAAGTCTTCCAAAGCAGAAACTGCATCATTTGTTTTATCTTCTCTTTTCACCCCCAAGTATAGCGTGTGGCACATAATGGGCACCCAGTATATGTTTAGTTAATGCACAAAGATCAGAGCAAAGGTAAATTCTTTCTTGCAGAATGAATCACTAGTATCAAAATTTTCAAAGTGTATCTCTAAATAATTCAAAGTTAAAACCAACTGTGTAAAATCACAGGATGGTATTATTTAGCGTCTCTTACAAATCATTTATAATCGAATCCTTGCTTTTTCTATGCCTTTCTCAGGCTATGGGACAAAGGACAGTTTTTACTGTATTTTATTTAATATTCACTTAGTTCTTTAAACAATTATTTGCATTAGTATTAGGTATATGATACTTGAACTAAGGAATCTTAAATAACTATGTAGGTTATTGTTTTTCCCCTTGACTTAGAGCACTCAGGAGAATAATCTATGGGAACTATATATATAATGCAAGTAGACTTTATAATTTGATAGTTTTATTGATTACAGGTTATTTTCCAGTTTAAGCAAGTGGAAGCATATTTATGGATATTTGGAAACAAAAGCGATTGAATGGATTATGTAAACTTTTCAATATTGTTGCTAGAATCTTAAACCAAATATATTGAGAGCTCTGGGTATAATTTTATAAAAGCAAATTTGCATTATGCTATGTTAGTCATCAAGGTATGGTGTGGAATCATCAGGGTATGTTGAATTTGACTTACAACTACAGAATCTTATGGGTAAATGGGGCCTTAGATATTATTAGATATTGGGAGACAGTATGGCATAGGGATTAAGCACATGAGCTCTAAACCAGCCAGGTAGGTTCAAATCCCATTACTGCTATGCTGTGTTATCAGGCAAATCACTTAACCTCTATGTTTCTTCACCTGGAAAATGCAACTAAAAGTAATCTCTAATTTATAGGGTCATTATTAGGATTTAATGAGTTAGTAAATGGAAAGTACTTACAAGAGTGCCTGGCACATAGTAAGCACCTAAACTAGCTATCATCGTCATAATCATGCTATCCAGTCCAATTCCTTCCTTTAAATTTATTATTATTATTTTTATATAAAGAAATGGAAGCCGAGGATGGTTACGTGGTTTGCCCAGGGTATACAAACTACTTGTGGTGATGCTGAGAATAAAACCAATTTTTAACTCCCACTTCAGGATCTTTCTGCAGGATGAAATTGCCCTGTGGCATATTAACATACTAACTAATTTAATAATGTTATAATGTACAGAGTCTGATAATCAACTAGGAGTATTGTTTCAAGTGGTGCTATGGTTAGTTCAATCCATGGAGCTCCAGTTCCAGCAGGGAGGGTGTATCTTGAACTCCAGAAAGTACTAAGAATGTGCCACTTACTGTGTTCGGAATCCAGTAAAGTGTGCAGATATGGAGAAAGTTGAGATATTGTGCATTTTTCACTAAGCCAAAATATTTGTTTTCCTTTTTTTTTAACCTTGAACTAGGTAGTTGTTCTTTAGAAAAGGTGGATAACCTTTATGGTCCTTTACATTTCTTTTGACTCATGCTTATAGAAAACAAATACTGTCTTCTTATTCTCCTTGGGTTAAAACCAAGCAAATAAAAAATACCTAGAATCTTATTTTAAAAGTCATGACGTACTAATATCTAATTTGAATCAGTTTGTCAAACTGTGAGGCTTTTGTGCTTTTTTTGTTTTAATTTTTATTGGGTAACATTGTGTTCTTTCCAGGACCCATCAACTCCAAGTCAAGTCATTGTCCTTCAGTCTAGTTGTGGAGGGCACAGCTCAGTTCCAAGTTAAGTAGCCATTTTCAATCTAGTTGGGGAGGGGGGCACGCAGCCCACCATCCCATGCGGGAATCGAACCGGTATCCTTGTTCAGAGCACACACTCTAACCAACTGAGCCACCCGGCCACCCCTGTGCATTTTTCTTCATACATTTCAATAAAGCCTCAGGGAAACAATAGGGCAATAGCAAGAAAACAGAACTGCCAGACTGAACAGTAAAGAGCGAAATGCGTGTTGGTCTTACACACACTAAGTGTATTTTAGAAAGGTTTTTCTCAAAAGTAGGGGTCGGTTACATCCCCTTGGGTGTGTATCTGTCCCCTGTGTATTAAGCATCCACCCTGAAGAGGGGTAAAGCACAACTACAGCACCGGACAATTAGAACTGGTGGTTTATAATGAGAGTGGAGGGTCTAGCTTTTGGTTTGTGAATAGAATTTTCCCAGGACAGTTTGTATAATATGAGGTTGGATATAGCCTTCTAAATTTCTGCGGTATAGATTATCTTTCCTTAAAATCACTAAAACAATATTGATCTCTGTTCTGAACATGACTGAAGATTTAATTGATATTCTAAAAAATTTTTGTCAGTTTGGTAAAGATACAGTCGATCCATAGTTACATACTGAAGTAATTAAGTTACTTATTTTATTAACTGAAAACTTTTTTTTTTTCAAGATTTTATTGGGGAATTGAGGGAGGTGAACAGACTAGTTGTCATTTTGTTCTTCAGTCTAGTTGTGGAGGACGTCACTTCACTGGCCCATGTTGGTATTATCATTGCACTCTTCCCGTGTGAGGCAGATCGGTTGCCGGCCACTGGGCGGCAGCTCATGGCGGCTCATGGCAACTCATGAAAGCGCATGCCTGCTGCCGGCCACTCACAGTAGCTTACGGCAGCCCACTACAGCCCCACTGCAGCCTACGCCATCTCCTGCGACTCATGGCAGCCCAGCTCCAGGTCGAGCTGTCATTCACCATCTTAGCTGTAGAGGGCGCAGTGTCACTGGCCCTAATGTGGGATCCGAACCGGGGTCCTGCTGCTCAGAGCTGACATCCCAAACCAACTCTTAACCAATGCGCCATTCAGCAGGCCCTGAAAACTAACTTTTAAATGAAGGAATTGATGCTTATATAGTAAAGTAGTTTTGCTTATGCAAAGAAACACATTCTAATTTTTGAAACATGGTGAAACACTAAACCATATAAAAGGAGGATTTTACAATTAATATACTTAGTATACAATTAATGATTGATGCCCAAATGCAGGGTTTGAGTAGGCCAGATCCATATATATATTATTTTTATTTTTATTTTTTTTGTGTGTAGATTTTTTAAAGAATGCTTGACCTCAATTGTGATTTCTTAAGTCCCATCTAAATGACACACAGCCAAACTGTATAGAAATACTTTAAGGAAGGTGGCTGTCTAGATAAAGAAGCAGTATCTAGTTTTTTTAAAATTGGGGACAAGGAGAAGGGCTTGAAATTAGTTCTGTTTTCTGATGTTGGTAATTCCATAGCTGCAAATATATTATTTATGGGAGAAAAGGCACCTGGGAGTGGGGGAAAAGGGGTGTGGAGCACGTGATGGGGCGAGGAGTGTAATCTCAGCATTGTTTTGGTTCTAGCATGTGAAAAAAGAATTGGTTAGAGGTATCAGGCAAAGAAAAACATTTCTTTTTCCTTTTAAGTAAGGTATATTTAGAAGCATTGATTATTCTTTTTTTTTCTTCTAATAAAAGAACAAGGGATTTCTGTTGTGGTTTCAGACCCACATTCTATGAAATCCTGTCCTGCTTGTGATGGAAGCTCCTTATGGGATTTATTTCTGTTGTTGTAACACTGTGTACTATGTGCATTGCACCTGTTCACGCAGAGTACATTGCATTGTGATGTTTATACAGATAGGTCCTTCAAACAAGAACCCAATCTGCCTTTTTCTAAAGCACAAGCCTATTAGTTACTTAATTAAACTCAATTCTGTTTTTGTCTGCAATTTTGCATGTGATCTTGACTTATTTACTAAGCAAGGATTTCTTCTTTGCAGTTATCAGTTTTGTCTGAGATCAGTTTTCCTATTGTATGGAGTCCTTCTTTCAGAGCCTCCTTTAAGACTTCTCTGACTTTAAAATCATTCCGAGGCTTTTGTCAGAGCAGATCTGTTGACAATCTTCTCACATTAAAAAAAATAAATTTAAAAGATTGTACAAATAAGCTATGCATTTCACTATTTCCTGCTAATGTGCAAAAAAAATGTTATTTATGATAATTACGTGTACTGTGTGCCAGAACTGAAACAATACATTCCTCATAGTGGAGCACAAATAAAGAAGGTGGAGCCAGCTGCTCTTAAACTGTTTATTTGCAAGCAGTAATGATATAGAGAATATACCTTTTTCACTGTGAGTCTGGCAACACTGAACCTGTTGCTGCATTACACGAGTTGCTTTTTGCTGGATAGGGGAAGGAAGGCTGGCTGTTGTCTGGTAGGAGGGCTTTGTCTGTGCCTTTCTCTCTCTGTTTCTTTCTGTTTTTCTTTCTCTCTCTCCTCTCTCTCTCTCTCACTCGCTTGCTCTCTCTCTCTCTCTCTCTCTCTCTCTCTCTCTCTCTCTCTCTCTCTCTCTTTCTCTCTCTCTCTCTGTCCCCCCTCTCCCTCCCTCTCTCTTGCTCTCTCTCTCTCTTCCCGTCTCTGTGGTTTGTAAGGTAGGTTGCAGTGTGTGTATATACACAACATCAAGAGCAGGAAAATGGACTCATTAGGGAGGCAGGCAGTCATTACCACTCACACTGTACTTCCAGGGAGACACCGATTATGAGAAGAGAAACTCAGCGCTGGGGAAGAAGGTAGGGCAGACAACTTTCAAAAAAAAAAAAAAAATCCTGCTTCCTCAATCCCCCCTCTACCTATCATCTCCTTCAGCCCCCAATGCTTTTATTCTTTCTCCCTTGAATTTTAATATCCAGATTTAAGTTTGACAGAGCTATTGCTAGCTTAAAATTTGGAACATCTATAGGAGGCCTACCCTCTGCTAATTTTCTTCCTACTTATTTAAGGGTGTGCCCTTGTGATTCAGTTGAATTACTTTAAAAATAATTACAAACAAACCTATTTTTCTCACTCAAGTACCAAATAAATCAGTATCTTTCACTCTGAAAACAGACCCCTCCGTATGTTTGTTAGTCTCTTTGCTTTTCTTATCTGTTTATGCAATTCCATCTGTCTGTCTATATATCATGTTGTCCCTATTTATTGCTAACTGGGTTTTGCTAGTTATGTGCCAGTGAGTTCTAGATGCAGTGCCAGTGCGGGTATTACTGAAGTCAGACTCCTGTTCTTTGTTTCACATTGAAGTTTAAAGTCCATATTTACAGTTTAAATCCTTGAAGCAGGTTCAATACTTTTTGCAGCATATTTATTTGATGACATTGGCCATAAGGTGAGGGGTCGTCATCGAGGGGTGGGTAAGAATATAGTAATTATTTTTATCATCACACACTCTTCTATATTACGTCTGGGGGGTGTATTTCGAAAGGACTAAGGTACTGTTTTGTAACTTTTATTTTGCAGATGGACTTTTATAGGGATATCACTGTGGTTAGCAAGAAAGCAAACTTTCTTAACAAGCAGTTTTTATCCTAGGTCAGTTTCCTTTTAGTATGTTACTGTTTATTTGTGCTTGGGGAGGGAGGAGTTGGGGGCTGGCCATCTTTTTACAAAGTGGAAGCTATGAAATGTATCAGGCTATCTTTTGCAACAACTGTAAGTATTCATTTAACATTTTGGGGGCTATAAATAATGTATTTGTTGTTTCAAACATCGTTTGGAGGTGCTCTTTTTCCCCTTTATATATATTTTTTCTTTTTTGTGGTGGGAAAAGTTGCATTTCACAACTAGCTGACATTGTTGAAGAGTTTTCCCAGAACAGTGTTCTTCAAAATTCAAAGGAGTAGTTAAATTGGACCATTTGAAATGGACTCCTTAATGGAGTTTTATTCAGATTTGCCTGAAAGTAAACTGCTATTCATTTGATAAAAATTAAGTCAGATAGCAAGATACACAAATACTTTCAGCATTTACATGAGCAGTGATAGAAAATAGATGCTGATCTATAGAGATCTTTGATAATAACATCACTTTTTTTGTAATAAATTATTTATTTAATAGAAGTAGCAGACTTTTTTTTTTTTTAAATTCCATTAGGCCTCTGACAACATAAAGAAGCCCATAAAGCAATAATCTTAACCCACCTGGGACGCTAGAACAGATTCCCAAACACATTCTCAAGGTTCAAACCTAGTAAAATGTTTATTAAAAATCCATTATTCCAAAAGGGTTGTGAACTTTTGCTGTTAAAAGTCTTTTTTCCCCCTTTCTTTTTAAAAATTTATTTGGAGACTTTTAATTTGCTTATATTTCCTAATCTGTTTTCTAAACTAGAAAGGCCAGCTTTGACCAAGAGTGGTACAAATATTAAGTATATTCAGGTCCTGTCAGAGGTTTTTTTTCCTAAAGAGGAACTTTTAGGGACGTCTATTGAAAGTGTGTGTTAATATGGTACACAGTATATGGTGTTTCAAATGTGATTTTCTCCATTTCAGGACTCTTGACTCAAAAATTTGTTTGAAAACAAAATGTTATGTCAAAAATGTGCATGTCTCATGCACCTGTCTGTCATTTTCTATATTAACATTGTGAGGACTATCTAAAATTCTATGCTTTTTTTCAAAAGAAATTTTTCATGTCTCTCTTGGTCAACAGTTCTCTTTTTCTGCACACATGTATGTGTGAAGATATCTGTGTTCATATATATGTACTTATGTATGTATTCTCATGTGTATGGTAAATAAATCACAGATTCTTTTCAGATATGATATTTTAAAAATTTCACGTTAAGCATATTTATGTTAACCAGAAGCAAACAAAAATGGAGAGGTTTTTAAGGAAAGATGAAAATTTCTTTTAACCTTCTAGAAAGAATAAAACAAAGTAAAAATTTAGTCATTTTAATGGTTGGCTTGATTTTTAGAATGTGTGTATGTTTTCTTCTGAATTATAATTCTTAGCCTTTAGTAGATCTAAAATATTTTTAGTATGGAAATAATCTTGGCATTTTCTGGGAAGTACTGTCACAGTCTAAATACAGCAGGACATTGTAAAATGTGCATAAGTAAACTTAAAACCAGTGTGCTCTGCTGTATAAGGTTTTGGAAAGCTGAAAGGCTGGTGCCAGAAAAATTCATTAACCATCCTTGCCGGCTTATGATGGGCTCTTTCTATCAGCACCTGAGATCTGCCTGTTGAGAGAACCTGAAGTCTTGGTCAGGTCACAATGTGTTTCTTTTTAATGTTGGAGCACACAGTTATCTAACACACCCACAAGAGGAAGTGCTGTAAAGCAGTTATTTCATACTTTGCCATGCCCTGTAGCTAAAACAACGTGGTACCGAGTAATGTGTGTGTGTGTGTGCGCGTTTTTTAACTCCTACCCCATGAAAATCAGCTTTGGCTCTTCGAAAAGGACCCAAACAGTGGAATGCAAGACAGTATAACTCAAATGCCAAGCACATGATGGTTTAAACTTTTTTTTTTTAAACTTAGAGGAAGATTCACTTGGTTTTTTTTTTTTAAATAAAAAGACTGTATAGTAATTTCCTGGATTTTACTCATTAAGATTTCAAAACTTGTGGTTACTTTTTCACATTTTTCTCCAGAAGCCATTCATCAAAAGGATAGCAGCTGCATACTTTTCCCCTGAAATGTGAACAAATAAATGGCATTCCTGTTTATCTATTTTTGAATTTTAATGATTAGTCCTTGTGCTAATTAACAAATTCCCGTATTCATAAAATCTGGCACTTCATAAATATCCAATTGTGTGATTATCTACACATGTTCTGGCTTTCTATAAATATAGAAATTATGAGTGAATGTGTTCATGGACTTGCCCAGCCTGAGTAGTGGCTGGTCCTGCTGCGGCACAGGAAGCTAGTTCAGATCCTGAGCAAATGTGTTGCCCCAGGGTCTGGCAAGGTGTGTGGAAGCAGCATCTGACTGATACTGCTAACCAGTACTCCTTTCTGGCAGAGGAAGGACCGATGTTGACATTCTTTGAATGCCACCAGTTCCAGCCTTCTTCAGTCCCAAGGGTGGCCTCTTTAGGTCTAAAAGTGGATAATGGATATTAGAGCTGACTAGCTAGCCTTGGAGGCCACTGTAGATATATATTTTAGCAAACTGCATTTTTCAGTGGAAAATATACTGAACTTCTACCAAAGAAGTAAGATAATATGCCTATCCTAAGTTCCTTAACCAGTGAGGATCAAATTAGCATGAAAAGTCACAGAGTGCTGCAAAGAAAATCTAGGTATTTTCACCTGTATGGCTGTATCGCAAGCAAATTATAGAAATCAGATATTGTTTACATAGAAACAGTCTACCCTACATCAAGAACAATAAACACTAGCAGTGAACAAGTGTGTACATGCAAGAGTTATTATTAAATTAGAAAACAACCCTTTTAAATGTTTTTTTCCACATTGTATAAGTCAGTGGTTACCTTATACAAGCACTAGGTCTTAATTGACAGTGCTACTAGAGTAAGCCTTGGCCATTTGATTCTTCGCTCCAAACTTTCAAGTCAAGTATAGGATTCCTAGGTATTTAGCAAAAGTTGAAACATATGATTTTCCTGAAAACCTATTTCATTTGTATTGCTTAAGTAATTTCTAGCATTTTGTAGAACCCTCAGGAATTATAGCCAGTGTTAATAACTACAAAAATCCTTTTAATTCTTTACCAAAAATTCAAGGGCAGTATCTATATCCTAGAAATTCTAGGGAATGCTGAATTCATATGTTTTCCTGTATCATAGATAACTATATATTTAATCACCAAATACCATTGATGTTAATTATGTTTAATGTATCCAAAATATATTTCTTGAGCTCTTCTAATTTCAATATAGGCAAGATTCTGAGGCTGTGGGAAGAAGCAATGCTAACTATTATTATTATCATGTATGTGTAACCACTGCAGCAGATGTTGGAAGCATTGGAGGGTCTATAAGAAAAAAGAGCTTTTCTACCACACTGGCTGTTCGATTGTAATAATGACTAAGTGGCATGTTATTTTTGCACTAAACTGGGGGAAAATTATGCTCAACTTGAGCTTCATAACCTCTTTTCTACTCCAGGATCAAGTCTTTTGGTGATTCTACAGTTACTTGAAAGTAATCATCTTGAGGACATGGAGCTTGCCTTTCTGGAATCTTTTGACACTCAACTGAAACTTCAGGTCCGGGGTGTTTTGTAGTTCAGTTAACCAATGCAACCCTTATATAACCATTTTAATTTAGGGCAAGTTAGCTCCTGACTTCCAAGTGAGAATGAGAGATGAGAAGCAAGGACTGAGTTAACTGACCCATTTAGTTACCAGATAGAAATTGAGGCTATTATTATTAATTTCTGAATATTCAGTCTTACCTTTGAAACTCAGTTGGAGAGGGTGGTAATTATAGCATCATTTACCTTCTCGATATTAAAAGTAATTTTGTCACTGAATATTTCTGTGTCTCAGGGTAGAATGAATTCCACATACATATTACACGTTATGCATTTAGAATGTTAAGAATTTATTGGAAAACTTTCCATATTAAATAACTAATGTAAGGATTTGCATTCAATAAATATAAAACTATGTAATGGAGTTTGGGGTTTTTAAAAATTAAAAAGATGTCCAATAAATTGAAACTACAAATGGCAATAATTACGAATCTTATTCATAATAGAATTATTTTATTCATTGGAAATTCTTAATTTAAACTTTTTTTAAAGCCATGTTTGAA